CATTGAATTACAAAAAAATATGTCGACTAGAGGCTGGAAGTTATTTTTATCGGGAGAACGGTGTAATATAAAGAAATTATGAAACTTGGTCCTATGGGCGCCTACCCATAGGACTAAGTTTAATAATGTCTGAATAGTGTGTTTGAATAGTAATTTATGCTGCATCTAACATGAAAGTTTGTTGTTCGACACTGCCTAACTGCATAGGCCTCCGAATTATGTAGTCGACTTTTCGATTTTCTTTTCTGACCTAAAAGTCGATTTTTAGACTTTTCGATTTTTGTCTTCGACTAAAAAGTCGACTTTTCGATCTTTTGATTTTTTTCAAACCTGTTTTAAATCGATTTTCGGCTTTTACCGGCTATTGCAAAATCTACAAAAAATTTGATTTTTTTTTTTTGCTTGAATTGTTGTCAACAGATAAAGTAAAGTTCTAGAATGTGTACTTGTTGGGCAATTTGGGCTTTGTGATAATTAACCACGCATTTATGAATGCGTGGTTAATTAAAGTTCAAAAGTCGACCGCGACTTTTAGACTTTCCATACAAAAAGTCGATTAATCGATTTGTCGAAAGACTAATCCCTACTCCGAACAGTAAAACTGAGGAGTTAATGAGTCGGTGAATACTAGGCGATTTCAAGGTCCATCAAGAGTTGTGGCCAAGCAAATTTATAGTTCCAAATATTCCACAAGGTGAATGGTCATAGTGGCAGTAGATATGATAAATGACATAATCTGGCAATATACCGGTTTAAAAAAAGTTTTCAATCTTTACCTCCGTTTGCAGACCACATAACTTTAAAACTTCCTGAACAATGTGAAAGCTATTGGGCAAGCTTTCAGAAGGGGTTTCTAATCTCTGATTCAAAGAGCTACCTATCTTAATAACATCTGAACGCGATAATTTCTTGAACCATGGAGAAGCTAATTGGAAAGACTTCGGAGAGTGTTTCAATAACTGTTTCAGAGAGCTGTTTATTTTCTCAGGTCATCGGGTAGCTGAGATTTTTTCGGGAAATTTCCTGCCGAACGATTCAACGAAATAAGACCCAAAATTCTCTGTAGAGGCCACGATAATGATTAATGAATTTGGCGAGCTGGCGTGTTACGACCTCCGGTTAGACCACCTGAAGCAATACAACAATGTGACCAGTAAATTGTGATCAACGTTTAAGTGACTCTCGAACCCAGGAAGGACGACTGTCGCATTTAAAGTTTGACAGATCCCAAGAAGTGAGTGTGGACATCACCCTGAGAACTGCAACATAGTGTCTCCTTGTTACACCAGTCGATTAGCTTCATGATGAGCCATAGATAAAAACCGTCCATCGAAACATAGTTTTATGGGTTGCATGTTCTAGAGACAGAAGCGTTCCCACATGTTCTAGAAGGTTTTGATGCGTTCCCACATCCTCCTGTAGAGATGAAGCAGGAAGCCTGGTGACAGATAATAAAGCGTGTTGAAGATCTGGAAGGAGCAGAACCTATAACAGATGACGGTATTAAGTTATACCACCTAGCCAATATGAGGTCAGAACAGCAATCAATCGGCTGAAGAATAATAAAGCAGCAGCTGCAGATGGGTTACCAGCCGAACTATTCAAGACTGGTGGTCAGATTCTGGTCAGGAGCATGCACCAGCTGATTAATACAATTTGGCTAGAGGAATACGTGCCAAATGATTGGAATCTCAGCATCCTGTGTCCCGTGCACAAAAAAGGAGACAAGACGATATGTGACAACTATAAATGAATAAGTCTTCTTCCCATCGCATATGAAGTGGTATCCAGCGTGCTATGTGAACAACTGAATCCAATGATCAATGACATTATTGAACCATGCCAATGAACCATATTGGACCTGACAAATCCATCATAGACCAGATTTTCACACTGCGCCAAATACTGGAAAAGACCTAATGCAATACATGTTACTCGCCTAGGCCGGTGAAATCGATATAATGAGTCGAACATTGCAAACTGTTACAGCCACATTTGAACCAGTGAGCGGAGCTGTTTAGTCGGACGGGGCCGACCATATGATACCCTACACTGAGAGAAATTTCTGCATCAATATAATGAATTTCTGCATTGGCCCAATGAAATGTTTCATTAAAAAAAGACCAAAGAAACATTTCATTGGATGAATGATTCGAAAACATTTATTTAATGAAACGTTTCCATCATTGGATGGATGAAATATTGCATTAGATTAATGACAACCATTCATAGATGTATTGAAACAAGTTCATAGAATATATGAAATATCTTCACATATTTAATGTATAGTTGCATTCGTCGAATGAATCATATTCACACATATATTGAAAAAGTTTCATTGGACTAACGACAAAGTCATTAACCCAATGAAACATGTTCATTGATGTAATGAAATAAATTCATTGATTTAATGAAGCTTTCATTTATTCTATGAAACATAATCGTTAATTCAATGTAACATCTTCATAGATATAATGAAATTTATTCATGAATAGAATAAAATGTCTTCATAAATCCAATGAAATGTGTTCATAGATTGAATGAAACATATTCATACAGCAAATGAAACATTAATACAACAAATGAAACCCCTTCATATGCTAAATGAATGATGTACATTTAAATAATGAAAGGGTTTCTTTGATTTTATGAAATTGTTAATTTTTTATGAACGGGTTTCATTTGTTGTGTGAATATGTTCAGGCATTATTTACCATTTAGACAAGAATATATTCACATACTTATTTTTTTATTTTTCTTTATTTTGTAAAAACGTATCTTTGTTAATTCATTTACAAACAAAAGAGGTCTTAGATATCTATGTTAAACTCAAAAATAATAAATTCATATTGTGACTTGTTTTGCAAGCGGTTTTTAAAAATTAATTTTGTAAATATTATTTAATCAGTGTTACAAAAGTTAATGTTTCTTCTTACATATCATATTTTGTAAACAATTCTACTTAGTTATAATTCATTTTTCAGTCCATTTTGATTTGTTTTTAACAGTAATATATTTAATATATTTTTAGCATACAAGTTCTTATAAAATACTATAACTTTTTTTACTTATATAGTCTATAAGTCTTTATTTGTAATTACTTGAGGTAATTCAAATACACAGTCAGTTTTTAATCTGCGGAATTTAGGAACGTTTGTTATTTGCATAAATCTAATTTTCGAACTTATTTTTAATTGATATGAAGATATCAATATAAAACCAGTAAGGAAAGTAGTAAAGTCGGACGGGGCCGACTATATTTTACCCTTCACCACTATGGGTATATTAAGCAGGACTATAACATAAAATTGGATGAAAAAAATGTGATATTTATCTAAATGTGAATCTACATAGATCTATCCATAAAGTATGTCAATCGACTTCAAACAAATATAAATAGGTCATCCGTTGGGCTATGTCTGCACTTCTAGAAAACGCAACTACGTAATTCTATGCTCAATTTTTTAAGTTGTGCAAAATTTGATGTCAATCTGACTAACATGAGGAGTTTGATGCCCAATTTACTAGAAATCGGGCGAAAATATATATGGAAGCTCTATCCAAATATTGAGCGATTTCAAACAAACTTGTCACAGGTTAGGTTATACAACTTTCAGAACGTTTTATTCCAATTGGTTCCTTAGTACGTCAATTACTTAAAATCAATCTATAATAAAAGGGAGCTATATCTAAATCTGGACCGATTTTCACGAAACTTGGCAGACATCATTCTAGGCTCAATTAAGTACGTTATGCCAAATTTCGTGCAAATCGAAGGATATATAGGGACTTTGGTGCACCATTTACATGAAATCGGACGAAACTATATATGGGAGCTATATCTAAATCAGGACCTATTTTCACGAAACTTGGCAGACATCATTCTAGACTCAATTCAGTACGTTATGCCAAAATTCGTGCAAATCGGAAGATATTTAGCGACTTTGGTGGACCATTTACATCAAATCGGACGAAACTATATATGGGAGCTATATCTAAATCTGGACCGATTTTCTCCAAACTTGGCAGACATCCCTCTAGGCTTAATTCAGTACGTTATGCCAAATTTCGTGCAAATCAGAAGATATATAGGGACTTTGGGCACTATTTACATGAAATCGGACGAAACTATATATGGGAGCTATATCTAAATCTGGACCGATTTTCACGAAACTTGGCAGACATCATTCTAGACCTAAATGATTAGGCTGTACCAAATTTCGTGCAAATCATATATAGGGACTTCTACATGAAATCTAAATGATATATCTAAATCTGGCTGTACCAAATTCAGTACGTTATGCCAAATTTCGCGCAAATCGATATATAGGGACTTTGGGGCACCTTTTACATGAAATCGGACGAAACTATATATGGGAGCTATATCTAAATCTGGACCGATTTTCTCCAAACTTGGCAGACATCACTCTAGGCTTAATTCAGTACGTTATACCAAATTTCGTGCAAATCAAAAGATATATAGGAACTTTGGGGCACCATATACATGAAATCGGACGAAACTATATATGGGAGCTATATCTAAATCTGGACCGATTTTCACGAAACTTGGCAGACATCATTCTAGACCTAAATGATTAAGCTGTACCAAATTTCGTGCAAATCGAAAGATATATAGGGGCCGTTTACATTAAATCGGTTAAATATATATGGGAGCTATATCTAAATCTGAACCGATTTTTCCCAATTTCAATAGGGTTCGTCCTTGGGCCGAATAAGTGACCTATGCCAAATTTCATTCAATTCGGATCATAAATGCGACCTGTACTTTGTTTACAATTTAACATGGACAGACAGACAGACAGACAGACGGACAGACGGACGGACGGACGGACATGCATAAATCGACTTAGAAAGTGATTCTATGCATATTCTCAAAAGGAACCATGTGTCTATCTCGTTTCCTTTTGCCTGTTACAAACATATGCACAAAGACATAATACCCTGTACCACAGTGTGGTGAAGGGTATAAATAGCTTAATTATTATTTAATTTAGTGTTTTAAATATCTGAGAATTTATAACTTATTAAATTGAAACCAATTACTCAGATTGTTTCTCTAAATCATCCAAGAGGATGCTTACCTTTGACTTTTTCTTTGAGCATGAACTTATTTCAAAAAAGTAGTTTTCCAAAAAGATCCAAAATGTTTCAGATGCTGTGGGATATTGTAAATTAAATAAATGGAACATTTTAAAACAAATATCCAAAGAGCGAAGAAAATTAGGAAACCGTATGAGGTCACCATCAAAATAAACAAAAATTTCATGTATATCGTCCAGACTTCCGATTCCCAATATAAAAGGCTGAATATGTTCTTTCATCTTTAACAAAAAATCAATATGGTCGTGTAATTCTTGCAAAGTCTTTCCCAAAAACAAAAACGTCTTCTGGGAGTCCTTTATTGTATAGCGAGATATTTCTTTCTTTCCGAGAATTGTTTTTCGAACTTGCCGCCCAGTCGGGAAAAGAACATAATGTAAAATCCACAGGGTTTTCACTGCAAATGTGCCTCGATCTGCAAATAATAACGTTAAATTAGGTTTGATCGATTTGTTGAGCTTGACTTGAAGACTCTTACCCTTTTCCAAATCTTCGTCCTGGAGAGTTTCTAACATTTTTGACTCGCCATGACATTTAAGTTGCTTAGATTTTTTCAAAAAGTTAAACAACTTTAGGATTTTTTGGTCCCAGTTGAGCATTTTGTTGTGCGATTTATGCATTATTGAGAAGTCAATATCAATCTGAATTTAAAACAGTTTTTGTAGAATTACGCTAAAATTATCAAATGTTTACAATTTGATATATATATACTCACCAACTTATAATGTGATTTATATTCAGGCCACTTTTTAAGAATCTCTCGTAGGCTACTGCATTCGTTAAGTACTTGATTAAGTCTATAGTTGGCACAAGAAATCCACTTTGTTTCAAACTCTTCAGCTGAAAGCTTGTCATATTTAAGAACTTGCACCAAATCCTCTCCATTCTCCTCAGGTACTGAAAATACAAATTAATTAAAAACCATTACTAAACCACAAATTCCACATTTCCTACCAAAAGTAATTTTAGCCTTTTTTGACGCCGTAGGTGATTCGTTTTCCAGCATAAAATTGCAGAATATTCGTTTCCAGCATAAAATTGCAGAATATTTTGATAGTAATATTGATAATTTTGTGGACAAATTATTATCTAAGTCTTTTGCAAAGGCATTTATTACTTCCAAAAACGGGTTAACGACTGCATCAATGACATTACCATAAATAAAAGTAACATCTTTTCTTGAAAAATTATAGTTTGAATGCATACTTGTTAGGAATTTAATAACGTTCTCGCTAACCCTTTCAAATTTCTTTTCTTCCGATTCAGGCTGCAAATAGTTTGAAGGAGTTGGAGAAACGTCAATATTTTGTTCGCATTGATTGTCAAGAATAACCGGAATGTCTGCTTCTATTTCCTCAATTTGTTTCACACTTGTTAAAACCCGCGTCTCTTTTATTTGATTTTTTTGTTCTTGGGGAGAAAAACTGCTGTTATGCCGTTTTGCTATATGTCTTTGAAAAGACCTATATTCATAATTTTGACCACAACACTTGTATAAATCAGTAGATTTCAGAAAATGATCACCCCGAAGGTGTTTGAAGAAATGTTTTTTGTCACAAAACTTTTTTTTACACATAAAGCAAATCATTTTATTTTGTGTTATTTACCACTGTTTTTTATTTTGTTTGAAGAATGTATTTCTTTTATTTTTATTTAATTCACAAACTCACTTTTAAATGTTCTCCGATTGAAAACCACAATGAAATGAATAAGCAATTTTCTATTTCACTTCGCTGAACCAAAAATATGTGACAAACAAAAATATACCGTTATAATTGATCGTTACTCTATTTTGTTAGTGGAGTTGTTCAGACGAAAGAGATATGTGTGTGTGTAGTTGTTGCTTCCATAGTTTGCCAACAAGTTCATGAGTACACATTAAATGTGATGCAAACTTTTCAGAATAAAAAACGCGTCAAAATATAAACTTTTTTTATATAGAACGAGTACCAATCCGCTTTTTCGAAACAAATATAGACGACATTTGTTATTATAAAAAATGTTTTGTGTTCTATTAAAAACTAATGGAGTGAAGCTTTATTTAAAACACAAGTATACAATACACATAAATACATTGCGAATTATTAAAATACTTATAATAAATGTACTAATAATTAATGTTTTTAAGAAACCAGATATAGGTCTGTACACTTAAGTAAACTGTTTGTTTATTTATACTATATTAAAAATAAAATAAAAGCAAATTAAATAAACGAAAAAAAGGACTTCTGCCTAAAGGCAAAATCCGTTGAAAATGTTATTGTTTTGCAAGTTTCGAGGAACGATTCCACAAATATAGTCTCAAACGGCTCAAACGGAAAATGTCAAATGATTTCAATTTATTGATAATTATTTGACATAAAATTGAAAGATTAATTGTTTGGTGAGAAAAGGCCTGTACGATTTGGCTTCAAAACGATAAAACATACGATAAACGATATATCGTTTCCCGTGAAAAAGCCTTAACGCAATATAAAATTCTTAAAATTTCTTTAAATTCTTTACATCAATGTCTCAGAAGTTTGATAAATACAGAACGGAGCAATACATAAATATTAAAAAAACATAAAAAATGGTTAAAGATGCAAACATGTTTATTACTTCGTCTGTAGCTGTCACAAGTTCCGGATCACTTTTCGATTTTATTGCGATTATATTTTTTCTTTTTCAAGTGTACACAAAATATATCAGAGCAACAATAAATATAATTGTATAAATCTTTCGTCTACTTAAATTAAATAAACGCGAAATATAGTTAGAATAAGGCTAAGTTATCAACACTGAATCAAACTCTATGTTGGTACGCTCCCATACACACACACGCTTTACTGAATAACCAAACTACAGTTGACACTCGAGTATGCGATATTTACAAAATTATATTAAATATAAAATTGTTTGTCTAATACATAAAACATACCCGCCAATATTATTTTGTAAATTAAATAAAATATATTTTTATAAACTGAAAAATTTCATCCATGAAAGGCTTTCCATTATTCATTATAAATCAAACAGGAACTATTTCAGATAATCGAGGTTCAACTGTATTTTCTTCTTAGTGCAGTTTCAGTCACGTTCAGTCTTGTGTATTTTGTTTCTCGTAACAAGAATGTTTTTGTATATTTAGGCTTCTAACGAACATTATTAAGGAAAAAGCTAGAAATAATGTTTAGAGAGATTTGACCAAACGTAAAAAGCAAAGCACAGCATGTCCATTTATTTATGAAGCCATCTCATTAACAATGTGAAACGGTTCATTCAGCCTATGAACATTCTCTATAAACATTGTGGACGAAAAATTTCAATGTAGTTTCATAAGAAATAATGCAATTTAATGAAGCTATTTCAAAACATGTATGCAACTTTTCATTCGACCAATGAACATCTTTTATGAAAATGGGTTATGAAAACCTTCATTAAAGTTTCATAAAAATGAAAGCAATTTTATGAAGCAATTTCATTTAACCTATGAAATATTGCATTCAACCAATGAAATTATTTTTATGATTTTTTTTATGAAGCCTTCATAACACCTTCATTGGATCAATGCAACTTTTGCATTGGATCTATGAAGTTTCATTCTATTAATGAAAATTTTCATTGGATGAATGAAAAAATTCTTATGAAAATGTTTCATTGATCCAATGAAGCATTTTTCTCTCAGTGTACACAACTTCCATGAAAATCGAACTTTCTGTTGTTCTATATTCTGAGCATGGGCAAAAGTTCGCATTATTTGCACCTTCTTGACCGACTAGAGGTCAACAAATATTACTAATATTATGTACAGCCCTTCTAATTACTTGGCCAGATTGGCGGGCTCGGGAGCGACCAGAAAAACCGACAAAAATTAAGTATTTGGTCCATTTAATCCCCTAGATATTAACTTATCTTTACCAAAAACAATAGGAGTCTTCATTAGGCCGAACCCATCCTACATGCAAAATTCCGTGAAGATTGGTCCATAACTGTGCCCTGTATCGTGTTTACAAATTATAATGGACAGACGGACGGACACACATGTCTAGATCGACTCTGCTAGTTGAGATATGACGATCGGTATACTTAAAGGTGGGTCTAGGACCAATATTTCGCGGCGTTACAAACTCTTGGGCTGCACAAAGCTATAATACCCTGACAACATAGTTGTGTAGGGTATAATAAACTGAGAAGGAGACCGCCAAAGTGGGTGTGGCAGTAAATGGCGAGAAAACCAAGCTGATGATATCAATGCGCAAAATGACCTACAGCTTCGAGGTAGTCAAAGATGTTATATACCTTGGTACCGCTATAAATAAAACTTTTGAAATCAGTTTTAAAATTCGGAGAGGGATAGTGTTGGCCAACAGATGCTATGCAGGGGCTCTTGTGTAAGCAGATGAGACAGCTCTTGTAGTGCTTGAGAGAAAAATTCTCTCTATGGGCCGATCTGCGTTGATGGTGAATATCACCTTCGAATGAACCATGAGTTGTACCATCTATTCTCGGTCATCGACATTTTCAGACGTATAGATCAGCAGCGACAACGTTGGCTAATCATGTGAGAATGGAATGGATACCCAACACAAAAGGCATATAAAACCGATCCAACTGTTGTCTCAAGCAGAAGGGGCATGCCAAGAATTGAGATGGAGAACATTTCGGAACAATGTCTTTTAAATTGGAAGAACTGCTAGTAAGACCCACGAGCCTGGAAGTCTCTTTTAAGCTCGTCTTATGAACCATATGTTCTGTTACAAGTCAGCTACGTAAGTAATCTTCTTTTGTACTCACCGAAGAATTTTTTATTTCCACCTTGGTCCAACACTCCATTGAGATAAGAGTTTTATAGCGATTTATTGGCTTCAGGGCACACGTGTGATTGTGTATAACATCGGGATGTGTTTCACACACAATTTTGTTAATCTTCAAATAAGTTTCACCAACTATGGTCTAATAAAATACAAAAAAAAAATTAATAGACTATTTTAATTGGAATTTTCTACTTAGACTTACTAGAACACAAAATCCAAATATAAGTACAGAAGGTAACATCGTGTCCGATTTGAACCGACATAAATTTAAATGAAACATGACAATGTTGGTGAAACTATCAAACGAAGTACAATGTAAACTATCAAATTACTTTATAAAATTGAAAATGATGACTATTTTTTTTAATACTTATTGAATTTTAGTGCCAGATATCAATTACAAAAATATATTGGAATTCAGGCGGAAAATTGTAATAATAATTGTTGACTATAGTTTTCTCCGTCCCAAAACATAAAAATAAATTCATAAGTATTAGAAAACCGTTGATATGGATATTACATATTATGGTCATTGAGATTCGCGTGAGGGCTCATTAATTTTTTTACAGTTGTCCAACAGTGTTTGAATATCGTTTACTTTATGGAATACTAGTCATTACCGCCAAAGTGGGGGTATGTTCCATTTGTCATTCTGTTTGAAAAAATCGGAACAACATACGCCCATATATAAAGGTACTGGCCACAGTCCTTCCCTTAGTCAGCTAATAAACTTCATTGCTAACAATTCTAGGTATTTCTATTGCCCATTTCATGGTATGAGTGTCTCTTATTTGGAACATACAAAGTATAGTCCCCATATAGTCATATGATTGCCTGCTATTGAAGAATACGACATGGAAAATATGTAGTTTCAACAGTACGTGGTTGCCACATGCCACATAACTGGATCGAATATGCTTTTATTGCAAGAGACATTTCAGCGTAATTTCTCGTCGTGGCGGTATCAACTGGCCACCATGATTATGGGACTACGAAAACCTCCAGCTCTTTATAAGAAGACCTCCAGCTATGTTAGGAGTCATCCAGGTCTGCTATTCGAAAAGCTCCAGGTCGTCGATAAGAAGACCTCAAGCTCTTCGATAAGAATAGCTCGTGGCATTCAATAAAAAGACCTTCAGGTGTTTCATAAGAAGGCTTCCAGGTCTACGCCATATACCGTGTTTATACGTTTTTCTGTATAAACACGGTGGTTGCTCCGACTATCCAAAGCTATATGCATTTAAACTTGATAAAATCACAGAGAAATATCTGGAAAATAAATGGTCGAATGTAGGTCGAATAAAGCCGTGGAACCTAAGAAGACAATTCCGACCGTGAAGCATGGAGGAGGATCTGTAATGGTGGCGCTGCCAGAGTGGTAAATCTTGTTGTTTTAAGGAACTGTGAATAAAATTTATGATTTAACATTCTAATTTGAAACACAATGTTTAAGTCCCAGATCGTTCGAGAATGGATGTTTTATAATTGTCCAAAAGTTTTTTATCTTGGATACTTTTCGCTGTGAGGATGCAATTGGTTTTTTTAACAATCAATATTTATACCCTTCACCATACTGTGGTACAGGGTATTATGTCTTTGTGCATATGTTTGTAACAGGCAAAAGGAAACGAGATAGACACATGGTTCCTTTTGAGAATATGCATAGAATCACTTTTTAAGTCGATTTATGCATGTCCGTCCGTCTGCCATGTTATATTGTAAACAATTTTGATTCGAATTGGATGAAACTCACTTATTTGACCCAAGGACAAACCCTATTGAAATTGGGAAAAATCGGTTCAGATTTAGATATAGCTCTCATATATATTTTCGTCCGCTTTTAGGTAAATAATGCACCAAAGTCGCTATATATCTTTCGTTTTCTACGAAATTTGGCATAGCATTCTGAATTAAGGCTAGAACGATGTGTGTTAAATTTCGTGAAAATCGGTTCAGATTTAGATATAGCTCCCATATATATTTTCGTCCGATTTTAGGTAAATAGTGCACAAAAGTCCCTATATATCCTTCGATTTGCACGAAATTTGGCACAGCGTAATTAATTAAGTCTAGAACGATGTGTGTTAAATTTTATGAAAAACGGTTCAGATTTAGATATAGCTCCCATATATATTTTCGTCCGATTTTAGGTAAATAGTGCACCAAAGCCCCTATATATCCTTCGATTTGCACGAAATTTGGCATAGCGTAATTAATTAGGTCTAGAATTATGTGTGCTAAGTTTCCTGTTAGGATCCCATCTGTTGAATATACCCAAAGTGGTGAAGGGTATCATATAGTCGGCCCCGTCCGACTTTACTGCTTTCCTTACTGGTTTTATATTTTTATATTGAATTCACATTTGGACTAATTCAGTACGCTTTGCAAAACTTTGTGCCAATCGGTCTAAATTTGACTATTTAGTTCTCCATTTAAATAAAATTGGACGAAACTATATATAGGAGCTATATCTAAATCTGAACCGATTCCAACAAAACATCGCATACATCAATCTGGACCTAATTCAGTACTCTGTGCAAAATTTTGTCTCAATCGGGCCAATATTGGCAGTATGGTGCTCCATTTACATAAAACCGACGAAACAATATATGGGAGCTATATCTAAATCTGAACCGATTTTCTCCAATTTCAATAGGGCCAAATAAATGCCAAATTTCATGAAAATCGGTTCATAAATTCGACCTGTACTTTATTCACAAAAATACGTGGACGGATGGACAGATGGACGCATACATCGACTCAGAAAGTGATTCTATGCATATTCCCAAAAGGAACTATGGGTCTATCTCGATTCCTTTTGCCTGTTACAAACATATGCACAAAGACAAAAAAAAAACAGTGAGCGGAGCAGTATAGTCGGACGGGCCGACCATACGATACCCTATACAACTACCACGGAACTCTAAGTGCTGCGGATATTTATTCCGAGCCTGACAATAATTCGTGATATTTGCACCCTATTACTCGATTAGAGGCCAACATCATCTCTTCCTTACACTGGCATATTTTCCGAATATTATAAATATTCAGTAAAGCTCTTATCTGATCACCACTGAAAATTATAGGCGTTGTCTTTGACCATAACTGGAACCTTATGAAAAATTCCAAAGCGATCAGCGATATATTTCCGCCCTCTAGTGTGCTAATGGGTTACTAAATAATATATGAATACGTAAGCACCTGTAAATATTTAAGTGTAATTCGCATTCGAGAATATACGACAATATAATTGGTATCAATTTAAAGGCCAACCACTCATCTTTGATACACCATCAACTTCTCGGGTCTATGTCCTTTAGGTGTAAATATATACGCTATAGAATACATATTGTCATATTTCACACAAAAGTCAGGGTCCATTTGACCCGCTAAATATTGACCTATATTTATCAAAACTGGCACACTTATTCTTTGGCCCGATCCCCTTCTCCATGAAAAATTTGGTGATGTTCTGGCCATAATTTCGGCCTCTGGAGCGACCAGAAAAACCGACAAAAATTAGGTATTTGGTCCATTTCATCCCCAAATATTAACAGATCTTTACCAAAAACAATAGGGGACTTCATTGGCCAGAACCCACCCTACAGGCAAAATTTCGTGAAGATTGGTCCATAACTGTGGCCTGTATCATGTTTACAAATTATAATGGATAGACGGACGGACGGACACACATGTCTAGATCGACTCAGATCGCCTAGACTCAGCTAGTCGAGATATGACAATCGGTATACTTAAAGGGTATTAAAATAACCAGGTGGATACTTTTAACTGTGACATACTGTATCTGTCAAAAAGTCTCATTAATTAAAAATGTTTTAATACTGGTGTCCAAGGCCTATATAAGGTCGACCAGTAAGCACAGGTGAGTATAAAGTTTTGAAGCCTATACATACATAAGAACTTATAGTAGACGTCAAAACGAAAATATTAATATTTTTCAACATTCAATTCAATTTTAATTTTATGGTTCCTTTTTAGAATATGCATAGAATCACTTTTTAAGTCGATTTATGAGTGTCCGTCTGTCCGTCCAAGTATTTTTGTTAACAAAGTACAGGTCGCATTTATGATCCGATTTGCATGAAATTTGGCACAGTTCACTTATTTGGCCCAACGACGAACGCTATTGAAATTGTGAAAAATCGGTACAGATTTAGATATAGCTCCCATATATAAATTCGTCCGATTTTAGGTAAATGGTGTACCAAAGTCCCTATATATATCCTTCGATTTGCACGAAATTTGGATTTATAAGTTAATGAAGAACTCAAAATGTGGCCGAATGCAAAAAACATACTGAAATAAGTGTAACCTAACATGTGACAAGATTTGATGAAATCGGTTTAGATTTCGATATTTTGCTTTAAATTTATTTACATAATTTTGTCCCATTGTAAGAAGCAACTCTATATCTGACCAAAATTTAGTATAGGTTGCAGAATGACATGTTTCGGCCCCGTCCGGCCCCGTCCGACTTTACTACTTTCCTTACTGGTTAAATATCATAAATGATTGATAATTGATTAATGATGGATAATTATTCCTCACACCTACAATTGCTTCCATGGTATACACATGTTTTTGCACTTTCAAAACGGTTGCACAAAACAAGGGCTCGAACCTAGGTCCTCGGAGCACCACAAATGTTGCCAGACCACTTAACGTTCTGAGCCAATAACACACTTCCAAAACGGTTGCGAAAAAACATGTGTATACCATGGAAGCAATTGTAGGTGTGTTGAATAATTATCCATCGCTACAACAAAAATCTGCTTTGAAAAAGACTGTTCCTAGAATGAAGACAAATGTCGAACTTTGACAAATTTGAATTTAATTCGCATATGCAAGTTTCGCATCAGGGCGGAATAAATACAAGTTATCAACGGTACGACCTTTGTAAAGCCACATAGCCCAATATGCCTGATGAGCCGCTTAACCAAAGGCGAAACGCGCCGCATAATGGTGGGTACGTAGGTTCTTATCCTGGATTTACTTTTCATTGCAAAACTTAGATCATGAAGCTCGACTCGAAAGAGTGTAAATAATTACTTAAAAATTACTTTCAAATGATCACTACCCTTACAAGGCAAAATTCAAAAAACAAAAATCATAAATGAT